TTTTTTTTTTACTTTAAACCGCATAAACACATTTCATTACACCAAATACACAAAATAATGTTATTTTTAGCAGCATCATATGACCCCTTTAAGTACATTCAGTCATGGCATGTTACATGTCTTGCTTTATCATTCACTCCCACTGATTTTTTATTTATTTGAAATAGTAGCTATAGTATGTGTGGTATCTGCTAATTATCACATAATAAACCAAGACAGGATGATCAGGACACCAATGTGAAGCTAACTGTACTGTCTCTTATAACAAGGCTACATATAATTTGTAAAATATTGATTTTAATTTGGTTTATTATATTACTTGTACATTATAATCAGTAAGATAATATTTTTATTCAGCAAGGATGCATTTAATTGATTAAAAGTTGCAGTAAATACATTTAAATGTTTACATTTTCAAATTTCATATAAAGGCTGTTCTTTTTTAACTTTCTATTCATCAAAGAATCCTGAAAAAATTATGAGTTTATATAATATAATATTTTAACAAAAAATATTAAGTGTGATAATAATATTAATTGAGCCCCAATATATATTGTATACTATATAATATTAATCAGTATATTAGAATGATTTCTGAAGGATCATGTGACGATGAATACTGGAGTAATGGCTGCTGAAAATGTAGGCTTTCCATTACAGGAATAAAATTCATTTTTAAATATATTCAAGTAGTTTTTTTTTAAATATATATTTTAATAATACTTCACAGTATTACTATTTTGTAATGTATTTTTTATTAAATAAATGCAGCCAACATAAGTCTTCTTTTAAATATATATATATAATAATCTTTTGAATAGTAGTGTGATTTAATCCAGATATTGCTATTGTTAATTATATTGTTAATGTAATATAGAATTATATTAGTGATTCAACAAACATGTTTAAAAATATATTTATGTACATTAATTAATATTAATATATAAATGTAATTATATTTTAATATATAAATATACTATTCTAGAGAGAAGCACAGAGTGATTCCTGGAACATGAAAGTAGCACCAGTATTTTGTTTTGGACAGTAGACAAATATACAGTTTCATGGTTTAGTTTCACCACTGCATTGGCCGCAATTGACCAATCCCAAACAAATATTTCAGAGAACCATTTAGTAAAAGTCAAGAATAGTAGCTTAGCTGTGGAGCAGCTTCACTTTGCTAACTTACTAAGAACAAGTGTTCATCTCTACCAAAGTGTATGTGTGTGTGTGTGTGTGTGTTTGCACTTGCAGAGCTTCTTCTGTAATAGACATAGTACTTTGGCTTACTTTTCTCTGTCTACCTACATGGACAGAAACGTGATGCACTTTTTCCATTCAGAGATTGTTTATATTGACTGTTAAATATTACTACAGCCAGGAGAAAGTAAAGATCACCGCATAAATGCATTAAGGTGTTTTATGGTTTTATCCTTCATCTTTTCCCCCCGATAACAACCCCCATCCTCTTCTAAATAAATTTCATCAATAGGCCCAGTAAGTAATAGCAGTAGTGACTCAGTTCCAGACTTAGCTGTTGACATTTAGGACTCTGCATGTTTGTACACAGTACTTGACTATGTTTAGACACATTAAAGACTGTCGCATCTGCAAGGCCATAGTGTGGTCAGATGTTTGCTGTCAGGCTGGTAACTTTTTGTTTTAAAAGTGATTTCAGCAGGGGTGGAGCTTATTGCTCAGTCCCTGTAAATAATGGTTGCACCCCAGGCTGGATGTTTACATGGTTCGTATTAAATATGTGAAGAGCAGAGCACCAGCACTCAGACTTAAATGAAGTAATTTACAGTTGGAAAAGCCCCACAATGTGTGGCAAATGTGTCATTAAATGTGATGGAAAATTAACCTTCAAATTGCAAAGGCATTACAGCAAACAGCTAAGCTGTAAATACTTTTTGTGCTGCATGTGAAACCTTTTAAATGGATGAACATTAAGTCTTTAGTCTTTAAGAAAACAATAGGTATAATCCACATAATCCATTTGTACTGGTTAGAGAGTGAAAGGAACAAAATATTTACAGAAAGATAAGTTATAATTAGCCAGCAAATCCAAGAAAGTTTGTCAAATTCTTTGGTTGTTAGACAAGTTTTGTACACTGTTTACTTCTAATATACAGTACTTCTAGTGTGAATGTGCTTGTGAGTGTATGTAGTTTGGTGCAGTGCTAATTAAACTTTATATTACCATGTTTGGTTGCAAAAACATGCCAATTTATTTTGCATTTTGTTCCATTTTTACCGTTTCGATGTTGTTCCATCCATATAATTTCTTCCACTCAAGTAGGTTGTTTCTGCTCACAGTCTAACTAACTCATCTGCCATCTGTCTTCCTCATTTCCTTAGTAAGGGTCATAGTAATAGACAGAGGCTCTTCAGGAGGTATACCATATGGAAATATAGGTACCCAGCATCCCCCACTGCTCCAGCAATATGACCAATGTGAATGCTGACTAACCTTATGCATGGATGATGACGGCCACCTCAGATAACCTTACAGACCCTACAGAGGGTCTAATATGAGGGTCCTATTGCCTGTTGCCTGAAGGATTTAACTGCCACTGACTGATCTATCCAATACCCCTATCTGACATGCAGAAATTACTCTACAATATTATTACCAAAATGATACATTATCTAATTTGTGATAATAATAAAATAATGTAAAGCTTCTAAACTTAAAACCACCAGTTTTCCAACATCCCACATTGCATTGCAGGAATAATCCGATCAAGTGGTTTTAAAGGTTCAGTTCAGTTGTGAAGGATATCTCTGACTGTACTGTATATGTCTCTGTTTGCATTAACACATTAGTCTTAACCTGCATGTTGCATGTGCATGAAATTTGGCTCTATAGTCTTGTAAGTCACCTTTATAGCATTATGTCTTCACTCTCCTTTTACACTACATCTCTTTCACGTACAAACTCAATACCGAGCATGAGCTCAGTGGACTATGTAGACATCCAGCATGAATTAAGAACCCCAGCTTATGGAATTTTTGTCTTTGAAGGAATACGTATAGAACTGTTCTGCTCATAAACTGTTAATATTCCGGGCCTCAACATCAGGCTTAGAAAGGTACATGGAAATGTTGTCAGGCTGCTCCACATTGAAGGTATCAAAAGAAGTAGGGTGGTTAGAGAGTCATTCTTCAAAATGTTGCTTGCTGATTGGTGGAAGCCATGGAATGAGGTTTGTGTTGCATGATGGTCTTTTGATGCAATTTTTGAGAAAAGTTTAGGACAGTTTTTGAGAACTTCCAAGTAATATGTGGTTCCAAATCGTGTCAACAAAAAAATTGTTGCACTGGAGGAATTTAGTAGAGAAACTTGCAGGTCCAAAACAAGCCATCACAACAGTTTTTATTAAACCAAACTTTAGTTAAATACATCTTTATTTCCATTCCATGTTTAATTATTTCTCTGTTTATTTGTCCCTTCCCACTTCCCATCCTCTTCCATTCCTCTTCTTTCCTCTCCTTCAGTCAAAAGTTAAGTTTTCGGGAGCGTGTGCGCATGGCCAGTCCTCGCGGTCAGAGCATGAAGAGCAGACAGATGTCAGTGAATGACCGACGCTCTCCTGCCACAGAGGTTGGGGTTGAGGGCAGCAGCCCTGCCAAGGTCCAGAAGAGCTGGAGCTTCAATGACCGAACACGCTTCCGGCCATCACTGAGACTCAAGAGCCAATCGCGCACAACAACTGAAGGTGAACAGCTTTTTTTATTTGGTCACTGTTGTTCCACGTCTATTGTAATAGAAGCAGATTTAGGAAAGTTCTCATTAGCTGATAATCAGACCTGTGGTTTAATTTGCTTCACAAATTATTAATTACTTCATTTTAAAAATAATTATAGGTCATGTTTGCTGTGTTATCTGCTAGTCTTGAGACCATTTGACCCTTTATAAACAAGAATGAGTCTTTCCCTATATACTGTATTGTTTTTTTGGACTTGTCCCTGAAGGCAGGATTTACAAACACACTGTGCTGCAGTGGGAGAACACGGTCTCCCATGGGACCCTCTGTTTGCACTAGTTAACCTTGGCTCATGCTCCCATCACCAGAATGCCCCTCAGGGAAGAAGAGTGCAAAGTGGAGATAGAGACATTGTTTATAAGAGGATTTTCATTATTGACAGAATCCTGTACATTAGTCACAAAGGATTGAAAGAATGTGGCCCCCCATGTGGCCCCATCACTGCAGGTACATAGATTAACATGAGGTTACAGGGACAGGTTTAAATGGAATAAAAGATTGGAGAAGATTGCAAAACGTCACCAAAGAGAGAAGTCTGACGTTTTCGCCTAAAGATTGAGCTATTTTCAAAAATAAATACATAAATACATAAATAAAAACTTCTAAGTGTACATAAATATATTTTTCACAATAAGATCAATAACATACATTTAGACATATAGAAAATAGGTTGAATTTTTGTTTCATGACACAAGAATGGACTTGCATAGATCAGATGCATAGATGAACGCTTGATTTACATTCGAACCAACTGAATAAACTAATTTACTGAAATTAATCTGACTTCCAAATGCTAGTTTAGGAGAGTTCATTTAATTATTCAGCAAAGCCAAGTATACAAACAATGTGATATAAAATACAGAAATGTAACATTTTAAAAATTACTTTGTTGCTGGAAAGGCTGCAGTTGTCATGCTAAAGAATAATTCACTACTTCTAGTCACTCTCCAACACTGCACCTACATGTTTTGTTATTGTTGTACCATAAGATTTATTGTAACATTCCCAATCAGTACATTTTCACAGAAGTGCCCAATTACTACTAACAAGCAGATTTTACAAAGGTAGCTTCTCAGTGGCAGCGGCGATCAAGCTCCAGCCCTGTATGAGATCCATCAACCCAAAATGAATCTCGTACCTGCTGTGCTACCACTCTCTGGCTTCATACTCTTATATAGCACACACTATAGATCCGCCACAGGTTACTGTATATAACCCATAAGTCACTGCTGAGGAAGAGAAAATGCTTCACATTTTGATAGCAATCTCTCATCTTCTGCTGTTTATCTGTGTCAGGCATCACACACAGTTTAAATGGAAGAATTAATTATCTTCTACAAGCATCATATATTTTGTCTGTTACCTGTTTCTCTTTGTTTTTGATTCACAGTCAAGTCCTTTGTTTGTTTAAATACAGTGGCATTGATAGTGATATTGTTTAAATAATTGACATTTCCATCCATCCATCCATCCTCCAAACTGCTTGTCCTTTGTCAGATTCTCAGACACTTTTTGTGACTCCTTAAGTCATTTTGTTGCCTTTCAGCTTAATGTGATGCGTCAGTACAGCAGTACTTTCTTCCAGTATTCATGCAGTAAAGCTCAGTGGAGTGGCCTGTGGTCAGTGTGATGGGTGGGGGTCAAGGGAAAGATTTGCTTTGAATGCTATTTTGATTCATAGCTGTATTGATCTGCCCTAGGCTTTCTCTACTTTTCAGCCTAGTTTATTTTTCAGCCTTTTTGTGGATCGCTGTAAAAATGTTTTTGCTTGCTACGATTCAGATTCTTTCACTTTCTCGCTCTTTCTCTCACAGCTGACACAAATCTTGGACCGGATGATGCTTTTGATGAGAAGGGTTGCCATTGTGATGTGACTGTGGAAGATCTATCTGCCCCACTAAAGGCAGTGATCAGGGCTGTCAGGTGAGTTTGACTTCCCAGAGAGCGTTGTTCTCCCCTTGTGAAAGCTTGAAGAATTCACACTGTAGTTGCAGGGTTGAAAACACTAATTTTTACCTTCCTGGCCTATTGATTGAGGCATCAGGGTTAGATGGTCACTGCTGTCTCTCTCCTGCTGGGACAGGCCACTGATGTTGCTTCATGTGACTTCACTTCCATCGTTCCGAACTATTAGGGTCTCCGAGGTGGGCTGAGATTTTTCCCACTCATCTTTCCCAGGGTGTCGGATAGAAATGTTCACAGTCAGTTCTGCTTACACACCAGCTCATCTGACAGGAAGAAAACTCACAGGGGCTTGAATCTGCAAGACGTTACAGAAACAGATCACTGAAATCTGCTCCCCTCTGTGTCAATATTTGCTTTTTCACCTTCACTCTGCGGAATGTTGCGCATAGAATAGGTTTAGGTTTCAGTGTGCCTGTGGTAATGCCTGTGTTTTCACAGCTAATGTCATCTGTAGCACATAGCTTTACTAGAACATGAGCCTTACTTGAGTAATATTATTATAAACTGTTTTTAAAGCAGAGGTATATCTAATCCTATTTTTTCTCTAGGTCATAAACTGTTGTGGTATTTGTGACTCATTTCTGCCCTCTAGTGGTTCTGAGCAAGCTTACACAACTTGCAGGCTTGTTTATTTGGGAGTTGCAAGGAGGTTTGCTTTGTTGTGCTGATTGCGTATGCACATAATATACTGTTTGTAGATATATCTTCAAATGTAACTAGAAATATCTTATTTTATGAAATTTTTTCATGGTTGAAACAATTAAAATTGTTCATGGTTAAAAAAAAAAACTTTTTCCAATAGAGTAAGAAATATAAACTTATATTTAAAATTAAACTTAAAGTCTTATTATTTATTTATTTTAAAAATAAATCTATTTTAAATAAACATATTCAATATATTTAAACTGCAAATAAGAAAAAACATATTGCATTATTTTTCCTTGCCTTTACTACATATGCCTGTGTGTCATAATTTCTAATCAAAAGTAAGTTGAGTCTTGTTTCTTGTTTCACTGTTGACAGGATAATGAAATTCCATGTGGCCAAGAAGAAGTTTAAGGAGACGCTTCGACCGTATGATGTGAAAGATGTGATTGAGCAATACTCTGCTGGTCACCTGGATATGCTATGTCGTATCAAGAGTCTCCAGACTAGGTGAGCTTAACCAGCCCTGGTTGTGTGGTGAAAATATGTTCAACGTGAACATGTGACTAAAAGTTATCAATTCATTTATAACTTCTCCGTTCACAGTTTTCTCTTTTTTTTTTGCATACAATTCTCACACAACAATACACATTAACAAATGCAGTTAGCACAAATACATATTTACAGAAAGCTGTACAGAAAATAGTTCAATAGGTTTGTTTTCTTATGCACACTTTCTACATCTATATGTCTGTGTCTGTCTTATCTCCCTGTCTGCGCTCTCTCATTCAGGTTGGACACCATTGTGGGTCCACAGACCCTGAGCAGCAAAGCCAAGACCTTTTCTTCTCCTTCCCTGCACTTGTATTACAGCCAGGCCAAGAGGAAACACTCTGCCCCAGGGTCAGCCGACCCACAATCCCCCACCCCAAACTCTTTTAACTCAGGAACATCCAGAATCCAGAGTCAAATGCTGAGGCTGTGTGTCTAATTCTCCAGTGTCTATTACCCTCTGGACATTAACATCACAGCAGTTCAGCTTTTAAAAAATAAATAAAATATCTAAAGATCCTTAAATCAAGATAAATTGTGTAAGATATTAAAATTTGTTTTCAGAGAATATATAAGTTTACTTTTCAAATCTAATTGGCGAAGTTGCTTGTTGAAACATAAACAGTAAATTTTGTTAGATTTATGCTTATAAAACAATTTATCTATGAGACAGAAATATAAAGTAATACATCTTAATTCAAGTTATATTATCTGAAGTTATTATGCAGTCTTATCTAAGGATGTTTAGATATGTTTAATGCAAAACAAGACAAAAATACTGAATAAAAAGAAATTACCGTTCAAAAGTTTGGCATCAGTTTGTTGAATTAATCATTTCTGAAGGATCATTGGACACTAAAAACTGGAGTAATGGCTGCTGAAAATTTTGCCATTACAGGAATAAGTTACATTTTAAAATATATTAAAATAGAAAATAGTTATTTTAAACTGTAATAATATTTTACAGTATCACTGTTTATGTTTTTTTTTTGATCATGTAAATATAGCCTGGGTAAGCATAAGCATTTGAACATCTTTCAAAAGCAAACAAACAAACAAACACACACACACAAAACGGTAGTGTGTGTACATATATATATATATATATATATTATTTTTTAATTATCTTTTCTTTTTACAATATGTATTTTTGCAGTGAAGGCTGGACATGTTTGTGATGTGTCAGTGACCCAAAGCCTCAAGCTTTTGGCTCTGTTCAATTATTCCTTCATCCCTCCATTTTTCTCAATGTAGAACTTTCTCCCTGTTTAACAAGGTTGGCAATGCTAAACCAGCATAACCGTGATGCAGTGCATGGTGTTAGATTGAATGTGCCTGTGTATAGCACTAACTTTTAGATTGATTCTTCTCAGCTTTCCCTATATTTGGGTCCCAAAGCTTGATTTTTGTTCAACATTTTGTCTGGCATGGAAGTGGCATATTAACATGTTGTTATTCTTTAATATTTTGAACCAACAGGTGTGTAAATCAGTAGTTTGCTAGCTCTGATTTGAAGAACCATCTCTAACTTACATTTACTTAAATATCAGATACCTCAGTGACTGACTTTGAGACACTGAATTTGAACCAACAGTTAAGAATTTAACCTAGATTACTGAGACCTTTGTTTTGATCATTAACATGTATTAGTAAATCGCATGTAGTAATAGTATCTTGCCATGGTGCCAAAAGTACCTTCTCTTCAACTTTCTCTCTCCTCCCTTTTACTTGATGGCACAACCATAAAAATGTTCTTGACCCCGGTATGTTTTCTCATCTAGACTCGCCACAGCTGTGGGTCCACATCAGACACTCAGCACCAAAGCCAGGAACCTTTCCTCTCCCTCTCTACACATGTATTACAGCCAAAGCAAGAAGAAGCACGCTGGGTCAGAGGCCTGTAGCAGGCTGGGGAGCTAGTCATGGGGCTGTACTTACCTCAATCACTTCATATTGTGAATGGGGTCCAATGGTGATGATGTACAGTATTTAGCTAAAACTATCCATAAGGTTTAGGGTTTTGTTAAGGGGCTGAAGTAAATAAGCCATATCTTGACATTTAGACATTTTAGCTTATTTTAATGCTTTTGGCATTTGGAAGTTTGCTAAGGCCACATTTAGAACAACTACTGATATATAGGAATCACAATCCCTTTATTTATTATCTTCATCATTGGACTCCAAGGTGATTAATAAATAGTGATGTTTTTCAACCAATGAGATGATTTATTAATTGTGTAGCACACACTGATTCAGCTGATTGATGTTGGTTTAACTCAAACTGCTCTTGCACAATAGATTTGAAGAGGCAAGGAAGCATAAGATGTTTTTTCTAACACCTGACAAAATACATTGAGAATCACAGACTGAAATGTGCAATCCAGAATATATTAATACTGTACATAGTCTGCATATTTTCTGCATGGAGACCCTGGAATATCATAGACTACATTTACCTGAAAATGTACATTACTACATTGTTAAAAATCTTGCTCACTAGGGGTTTCTTGGGAGCATGGTTTAACATTTTGGATTTGATATTTTAATCAACTAGCATAGGTAGATCATCAGATACAGCCAGTTCTTACATACAGTAAGTAACATAGAATGTAAAGAACAGAATTCTCAGTTGTACTGAATGTAGTTATAACATTTACAGAAATATATCAGCATCTCTTCCTTCTCTCCTTTTAACACAGAAAAAGTGGTGATGCACTAACTTCATTTCTTCTTCACTAACCAAAGTCCAGTCTTATCCTGCTGTGCTGTTCCCTGCTCAAGCTCAAGGAACAACGGTGTAAAGGTGAGAATCATCATGTATACTCAGAAACATTTTTTTCTTCCTTATAGGGTGGATCAGATACTGGGAAAGGGCCAGATTTCAGTAGACAGGAAAGGCAGGGAGAAAATCCTCCCAGAAGGAGAATCCTTGGAGCATGACATGAGCATGCTTGGCCGTGTCTGTAAAGTAGAGAGACAAGTAAGCCATGTTAACTTGATGGTCTAATGAAACACACTACTGTTCAAAGTTTTGGGGTCAGTCAAAAGCATTAAAATCTTACCAACCCCAAACCTTTTAACAGTAGTGTACTTGCACACATTTACAATATTTAAGCATAAAATTCAGAAAAATCCAATGTGATGTTTTTATTTCTAATATAATACAGGTACAGTCCATTGAGTCAAAGCTGGACTCATTACTGGATATATACCGGCAAGTGTTGCAAAAAGGTTCCTCTTCGATGCTTGGTCTGTCTGCTTTGCCCCTGTTCGAGCTGGATCAAACCTCCGACTACCAAAGCTCCATCCATAGCAAGGATTTGTCATCCTCCTCCCAGCTTACCGGCAGCAGCGTGTCTCGTCCGGGCAGCAGTAACCTGCATCGTGGTCTTCATCTTGCTCTGGCCCCTAGTGAACTCAACTTGGGTACCGGTTACCCGCATTCTGCCTCCTCCTTCTCACCTTCCCCTCTCCTAAACAACCAACCCTCCAGCCCTGACAGTTTCTACCCAGCGTCCCCTCCTCCCATTCTCACCCCCAACAACCTTTCCAGAAGTCACCAGTGGTTCAGTGAGCTGACAAGGCTGGTCCCAACAGTGCATTCTCAGTGAGCTGGCCAGGCCGGTCCCAACAGTCCATTCAACCTCATCGACCCTTCAGCTCCCGCCTATGGTACCAACGCCTCAAAGTCGGCCTACCAGCCTTATCCCAGAGACGCTACAGGAGAGCCAGGTGGAGTGTCTGAGCAATTGCCTGTTGAGTACCCAAACCGAGGATGAGTCGGACAGGGAAGCCGATAGTATTCAAAGCACGGTACAGCTACGGCACAAGCCCGAACGTAACCCCAAGGAAGATGGGTCGTGGAGAAGACACTTGAGCCTTGACATTGATCCTCTTATGCTCATGTCTTCCACAACAGCTGCCTCGCTACAGGTCGAGCGTGGGCTCGGCAAGTCTCTTTCTGCTCAGAACCTCATGCTGCCGACTGCTGCCGACTGCCATCCCAGCCTGTCCACTCGGAGCAGCGGCAGCAGCAACAACGAGTCCAGCGACCGTGAGCCGCTGGCCGACTGGGGCGATACAGAGCTCTTCGTCAATGACAAAGTGGTGGACACCACGGAGGGTGACCGTTACCACCTCCACCAACAGAACAACGATACGTCCTTCTCTTCTGAGCTGCTACGGACAGGAGCCAGTGGGCCGTCTCCCAGCCAGGCTGGACCAAGAGATGGTCTTGAGTCCCATAACTTGCCTCACATATGCCTCGAATAACCCCCGGAGCACAGGAACCTCACTGTGGAGACTGGACACAACCTCATGTCCCTCATGTGCTTCTTTTCCAAAGGAAATGGAGCGTCCTGTACGCTCTATGTGTTTTCTAATTTTCACAGGAAGACGACATGCTGTTCATACATTTATGTTCATACGTACATATCAATGCATGGACAATTTATCAAAAAAGAGAATTTATATTAACGAGAAACTGTTGTGGAAAAAATATTCCGGGTTCAATATACATTAAGCTCAATTGACAGGTTTGTGACATAATACTTATTACCTCCGTAAACACCATAAAGGACTGAAAAATGTGTGAATGTAACCATATGAAGGAATCTTATAATCAAGGAAGCTTATAATTTAAAAAAACTTACATTTCTGCTTTTAAATTGTCCAGAAATTGGCCCCATTAATTTTCACTGTGAGTGCATCACTCTAACCCGTATACTGTATATGCATTTTTTTTTGTTAATCAATATTATGCCACGAATGCTGTCGGTTGAGCATAACTTGTACTGAACCTATAATATTCCTTTAAAATAATGAAGGGTTATGGTACTGAATGAGCCTTGCATGGGATCGGCATGTATAAAATGCAACAGCAAATATAATTGGAAGTGTGTATGCACCTGTAATAATCCCTCACTCAGCATTAGGATTTGTTTCTCACTTCCTTCTGAATGTTTGGCAGTCCACTCATTTGCATGTGTTAAGAAATTGTGGGGGGAATAGCAGAAAAAAACAGATGGTCTTGGTCCAAAACCACATTAATCTGTGATACTATGCAAACCTCAGCCAATCAAGCAGGGTTTGCAAGCAACTCCAGAGGAAACTCAAAAACAAACGCATCTTCACGCTATAGCCTGCACAGAGATATGCTTTCTTAATTTGACTATGTCCTTTAAAACCTGAGAATCTTAGCATCTGAAGAAAGCTGAATGTTGTTACTAAAGAGATGGTATGATGTGTTCAGGTGTAATGTCTTATGAGGAGGTATTTGTGACAATCAGGCTTTTTGAAAAGCACTGATTTCTGATTTTTCTAATTCCGAGTCCTCATGTGGATATTTGGCTGCTAAAATGTTAAAAGAATCATTTTCATCATGACAATAAATTACACTTGCAATATCATAACTAATGATTGTAATTAAATTTTACATGTATTTTGATTGCTTTGTAACCTGCATCCATATAATCAGAAGTTATCTTTGTCAAATTTGTATTGGAATTGCGGCAATATCTCATTTCTGTTGTATTTTCTGATTTTGTTCTTTTAAATTCTGTAGCAAGCAGGCATCTTATACCTAAACCTCAGCTTTGTAACCTCTGTTCTACATTTTTTATTCCATGCTTCTGAATGGTACAATAAGTGCTTTAGCTAAAATGCTTGTCTGTACAACTTAGAATGCAAAGTGTATCATTATGTGTACGTAGACTAACCATGATTAACTGTTAAATTTTTGTTTGTTTGTTTTGTTTTTATTTTTTGTTAAAAACATCTGAGGTGTACATTGAGGATGTTTTTGCCACTGTACAATTGGAAGCAAAACTGTTCAGATGTGTAGAGGAAACCTGCAAATGTGATGAATTGTTTTAACATGAATATGCTTTAAATAAAATTTATAATCCAGAGATAGTTGAGATGCTTATTTTGCTCTAGAGTTGAGGTAAATAATATAGGCACCTGAGAACTGAAATGAGAAAATGTCAACAGCTGTGGAACTAAATGATGCTTGAAATGCAGAAAAAGGTTTGTACAGAAATCTAGTCTTCTTAACACATTATGATTGATAATATTACTATTGTTAATGCTTTTCTGAAAGTTTTCATTTGTAATTCAATGGTTTACGGTGCCTTTTTGCATTTTATTAAACATTTATACAACTTCTGTATTCACAGTACCTTGAACTCTTATTGAAATGGTTATATTTTGACAATTGCACATTCTCTGTTTGGCTGTGAACTTAAAGCGTCTGTCAGTTTAAGCAGCATTTCTTTGTTTTACCACTAGATCAAATAATTTATTACAGAGAAACTGGCCTTAATATACATGCTTGATAATGTTAGCGTTCTCTGTCATTCAGAATAATTTATTTCTTCATTGTGCACATAACAGAGTTGATGCTCTGGGATTGAAAAATGCTAAATGAAAATGTATGATCATCATAATACTTAAATAAACAAAATACTTGAAACTTGGCCTAGTGTGCTTGATGTTAATGTCTTGGTGTGCCTTGTCGTAGTTTGTGGGCCCAGTTGGATCCCTTTTCTCTTTTCCTCAAATAGGCTACATTCTGGAAGGTAATGCATAGGCTATATGAATTATGTGTTCTACTGTATATGTGAAGTGAAAGCAAACAACCAGCATGCATTAGTTAAGCTATAGGAAATGCACTAATATAGGGAGTATCCTATTCCAAAAGCCCATTTTAAAAAGTTATTTATTTTCAGCAGATGTAGGCATACTGCATCAATTTCTATGGGTGGCTTTAATTATATTTTTCTGTAAATAATCTATCTAAAAACGGCATCATTTAATTGTTTTATTGTTCCTCTCGTGTACACATTTATAAACAGCGTCATCCACCAAAATACTACTAAGCAAACAAACAAACAGTAATTATCAAAACCGCAGAAAGGTTTTTAAAAGCATTTTCAGGGTGTAATATTTATTCGTTATGGTTTTCACAGCAGTAACGAATGTAAATTGCGGTTGCCATGTTGCATTTCAGTAAGGGATCACGTGAGCGGATATTGATTGAAGTTTCTGATCCGAGATTTGTGGTCGTGCTGGAGGGAAGCGTCGATTCAAAAAAGTAAAAAAAGATTCAAAGTTGTGTTCTTATATGTTTGTTTTAAATGTCGGACTGGGAAGATGAGTACGGTGCGGATGGTGAGGCGATTTCAAAGCCGTCAACGTTACCCGTTCAAACTGTAACGTTACCGGTAAAGTCATGGAGGCCTCCGTCTCCTAGAGGCGCGCGGAGCCGAGACCCCACGAGTGTCGGCGCAAAGTTTGGTGGAGACGGCGAGCAGTGGAGAAACTGGAGGGACCGAGACTCTGAATCCAATGTTTGTGACGGAGCAACTGGTAAATATAACAGTTACAGTCGTTCCATGACTGGACCTACAGGGTGTCGCGGTGGTGGAGACAGATCAGGCTCATCACCGACAACTCTCAATGTGGAAAACTCTTTGGTCGGGAGAATAATAGGTGAGACACAGGTGTCTGTGGAACATGTAAGCATGCAGCAGTTCTTTGGGCTGACAAACTATGCCCTCTCTGTAGTGATGTCTGGTGTTTTTCTAACGAATCGGTTGAAAATCTTCCCCAAAACGATTCGTTCAAATATGCGGCTCAGTCGGTTCGAGTCATGAGCCAAATCAGACTCATGAGCCGACAACCGATGAGTGAAGCACTAGTAGGCTATAAGAGGATTTGTAGCGGACCAGTGGTTTATTTATTTATTTTTAAATAGCTCCACTGAACATAATTATAATATAACAATACAGGATCCAATAATACGAATACCAAATGGCATAGGGACGGCTTAATGGCATGTCTAGGTCTTTGCGTAAACTAACGAATGACTGAATCGTGTTTTAAAACGGTTCAAAAGAACCGATTCGCGGAAGTCACTTCTGTTTCTGTTCGTCTGCCTAGGTCGAGGTGGTGCGAAAATTCGGGAGCTCGAAGAGAGCAGTGGAGCATCGATAAAGGCAAGTTAAATACACTAATGCTACCATAAGTGTTGGCAGTAACGTTTGGAATCTCAGAAACGCCTGTATCTAATAACTAGAGCTTTAGCCCGTCACACCTTGAGCAGGCCAAAACTGTTAGGACTTGTTGAAATGCAAGACATAGGCCATTTAAAATTAGAAATGTAATCATTTTTGTACTCTTATTTTTTTCTGAACCCATATTACACCGTTTCTTTGGAAAAAAAGTGAGTTTTTAATATTTTTGTTTTGAACAGCCACAGTTCCCTTTCAAGTTAAGTCACATTTATTTATTTATTTTTTAAAGCAGGTACAATAACATTGTTTCACAGCAACTAAATTCATGAATTATGAAATAACTGAAATGTTAGCTGTAAAGCAACTCTACAGAAGAAATAGTGCCATTATTCATCCCAACCCAGATTCAGTGTTGATTCAGTTTAGTAAACTGTCAGTGTTGCACAGTTCATCAATTATGCAACAACTTCAATTTCAGCTATAAAGAAGCTCTATAGCTCTTAGGCTAGCACCATATTTAATTTCTGACAGGAGTGAAAATGAGGCTTAATTGTTAAGCTGAATAAACGGGGAAAAAATCGGTTGAAACTTGATAAAACTGCTTTGACAGTAGTGAGTTGTGTAAATTACAGGATTTGGACATTTACAGTGTGAGCCATTGTAAAGACTGTAAGTTTATCCTTCAGCCTCATTTTTGTCCATGTTAAATTCAGTATGGCATCTAACATGATTAAGGTCTATAAAAGGCAATAGTTTCATCACGGCTATTTTCATTTCAGTGTCAGTGTAACAAAGTACATAAATTATTAAGCAGCTCTACAAAAGACAATAATAATGTCGCTATCCAGCTCCATTCACTTAAGGTTTTTGTTTTCATCGGATAGTTTCAGTAGTATAGTCAAATCCATAATATTTTCTTCTGAAAAGCTGTCTTAGAAAAGTTGTCTTGAAGCTGTTGTCTTTTACTTTCATTCTGAGGACATTCTTCGAAATTCACAAAAATATGTTTTCAGAAAATAATAATAAGGCATATGGGCTTAGAAAAACACGAATGAGTAAGGGACCATTTTCTTTCACATGGTATTTCAACAATTACTGTTTAAAGGGGTCATATGATGCTTTTTTAAAGATCATTATTTTGGGCAGCATTATGCAAATATTTCCACATAGTGAGGTAGATATGTGGGGGCGTGTTAGAACAAGCTGTTTTAGGGGGGCGTGGCAGAGTCTTAACTTTTATAAAGTATATCTCTTTGGTTTTGAGACTTTAGTCTTTGCAACTTCAGGGATCTTATCTATGCACAATCAGCTTGTAACACTCCAAAGAGAAAGGAAAACTTGAAATCGCATCATATGACCCCTTTAAATGATGTATGATAGATAAACCGTGGTGCACATGAAGCTGAGGTACTTGTCTTTGGAAGCCGTGATGCTCAGCTCAAAGCCAAAGACATGATTGAAGATCTGGTGCATGGGAATTCTGTCAGAGGTCCTGGATGTGGCAATGGTAAGAGCACAGGAATCACTAAGCTTCTATAATGTGTTATTTTATTGTACTGTTAATTAGTGATATTTTGGGTTTGACATTTTCAATTTCAATCTCCAGGTAACAGCAATGCAGGGTATCAGAATGACTCCTGCTGGCCAGCTGCTGCTGTACGAGCTGTGGCTGCAGCTGCCCAAACAGCTGTACCTATTGACTGGACTGCACTTAGAGAAAATCGGGACAAATATGAAGCTATGAAATGGCAAGGTGAGTCTCTAGTGGCACAAGATGATATGATCATTACTTAAGATTGGTTTTGTCATCATTTACTCACTCCACTTGTTTCAAACATATGACTTTCCTCTGTGAATTTACACTTTATTTACACACTTTTAAGGCTAAAATTTTAATTAGAGTAAGGAATTTAGTTGATATACTGTATGAAATATATAGTCAGATATGAAATACTATAAGTACTATACCTTATTAAACGGTCATCTTGTTTTCTGCAGATCTTCCCCCTCTCAAGAAGGATTTCTATATTGAAGCAAAATCAGTGGCAGCTCGCAGTGCAGAAGAAGTCAAAATCTGGAGGTAAAAGTTGTATCACCTTGCCTTCTTCACATTAGCCCACAGATGGCGGCATTTATCTGTTCATAACAGTGCGTCTGAATGCTCTGAGATGAATGTACTGTGGCATGCTTGGGTATAATATTAGTGCTAGTGGTTAAGGCTTTGAATGTGTATTTTTCATGTAATATTTTTGTTAAAGTGAGACAAACAATGTACTTTGAAACAGTGTGCAAAGTGCTTTGTCAATGTCTTTTGTAGGGCTGTCAAAATGGCTGAAAAACTACATTCGAATTTTGTACTTAAATATTATTTATATTCTAATTTAAAAGGCATAATTTCAGTTAGGGAGAAGAAAAGGCTTCTCTCCTTTTGGCTTCTCTCCTGAGGCCACAAGAGGCTGCATAAAAAAATGCGATGAATATGCGTTCTTTGTGAACGGCTTGGTTTCAGTTTCGCCGTAAACAACATCTCCGCATTGATGTTCTCTTTTTCCACAATATTTTGAATGAACAACGTAGCAGCGCCGCATCTAGTGGGTTCAACTGGATAGACTAACAGAAGCATTAAAATGCAATGACACTTACATCATCATCGCATTTCGTGCGCCACTGATAAGGCTGCCTGACACACCTAAAATTCGAATGCAAAATGTGGATTTTTATTTTAAATTCGATGAATATTCGAAATTCACATTTTTTTTCTGACAGCCCCTAGTCTTTTGTGTGTTGTTTGATATGCATTCTATTTTTGCCTTTTTGTACTGTCTTGTAATTTTGATTTTTATTTTAAGTCTAGAAATCACACATAAAATTAGACTACCTCATATTATCCAGGTTTTCCTGGTTCTTCAAAGGAGTTGTTGAGGGGATAATTAATTTTAGTTGTTTTAAGTCATCTTGAAAGTTTGCCGAGGCCCCCTAATTGAGAACCACTGTGTTATAGCGTAAGTTAGAAGTGCCACTTCTTTCAAAAAGACAGTAAATGAAAATGTCTTTGACATATACAAATAAAAAAACATCTAAAAGTACTGAGCGAGCATTAATGCAACACTGTGCATATTTGTATTGTTTTTGTACCCCTGCTCTTCTCTGCCCAAACAGAAAGGAGAACAACAACATCTTTGTGGATGACTTGAAAGATGGGGAAAAAAGAACTATTCCCAATCCAGTGTGCACTTTTGAGGAGGCTTTTGCTCACTATCCTGGAAT